TCAACGCACGTGGGGTCAACTTGTGTGTGGACTGTTTTATGGACAAAAAGATGTGACAACATGTACAGGCCAGTGTAGAAACATAAAAATGGAGAATCGGGGTGAATCTGCAGTCCCTCCTGTGTAGCCTCATCTCATTTTAGTCCGTTTAAAGTTCAAACTTCTGACTGATATTCTGGCTCTTTAGGAATTGAGCAAGCATCTGATGCAGCAGAATCATCAAATTATTTAAAAACTAAGTCGACTAATGAGGAAGAGCATGCTTGTTAGTGTGCAGAGTGCTTCAGCATTGACAGATTTCTGCTTTTAAAAATGAATGATGGAAGCATCTGAATAAACAGAGGGGGCAGAGAATAAGCTGTACTGTAGTGAACTTTTAAAAGAGCTTTGGAAAAACACACAAAAAACTAATTTCTCTGTTGAGTAAAATCTGAAGCTCGCACACTTTGCGGTAGTTTCCCGGGAGAAACCAAAGCTGGAGGCAGTGCAGAGAACCTGAGCAGGGGAAACAGGAGTGCTGAGCTGGTGAAGTTTTGAAAGCTGAAAGTTTTTCTCTGAATCGAGGGGACGATGTGACTGCTCCCTCGTTGACTAACAACTAATGACAAGCATACGTGTGTTTATCTTTGAACTTTATTTAATTCAGCTTAATAAAGTGTGACTTAATAATGCATATGTCTCTTTTTGAAATGAAGCTGTTGAACTGATTTGTTTTTTAAAGGTGTTAAATGTGTTTAGTCTTTCAATTTAAACTTTAAGTAGAAAATTTGCTTTCTTTTTTTATTTTTAAACTGAGGGTGTCCCGATAAAACCCTGCAAAACCCCCGCACTATAAATAGAACTTCCCACTTCCTGTTTGACAGGTTGGACCTTCGGTGTGGAGCACTTCTCTGTAACAATATGAAAGTTTTGAGTGTGTGGTTAGTTTTTACAGCGAGAAAAAGCTGGTGAGTGGGGAAAATCCTTGCAGGAGAGATCAGAAACTCCACACAATTCGTTTTATTACCAGTAAAAGGGGTGGAAAAAAAATTTCCGTACTTCAGCATAAGTAATGTGACGCTCCTGAACTGGCCTCTGTTTACTATTAATTTACAGGAAATCTGAGAAATGCAACTGACTCAGGCTTTGTTTTGTCCGTAAAACATTTCTCTAAACTTTCTATGAGTAACAGCTGTGACACAGTTGTAAGTATGATTTGGTTCCTGAAAAAAATTGAAGCAATCGTTAAGTCCTGTTGGGTAAAACTAAATGACACCACTTGATACTGATGCTCACCCGTAGAGACAATCCATACCAACGCTGGGATTGGTATCAGATCGATAATCTGGCTCTATCCTCCATGTTCAGCATGTAGCCCACTGAATTGTTTTTTGTTTTTTTTTTCCAATTTAAAACTTTTCTTTCAACCTTGCCCATTAAAAATTTTTTGATTTTTTTGTGTTGAAAGTCGCATCTTTTAATAATAGCCTACAGCACATTTAAACAACAGAAGTTGACCCAAAGACAGGCACGTATACCTTCCTCTTCTCAAAACAAAACCGAAAGGTGTGTTAACTTATTGTGGTGGAAAATGAAAGTGATTTGGTGGTAATTGAAATGTGTTCAGAATTTGGTGAACTGAGATTGATCTCTTAAGTTATGAAGCACTGCTCTACCTTACATAAGCTGCCTTTATAGGTTAAAAGTATCAGTATCGGTATTGATATCAGCAATACCTCCCCTGTATTTACCGGGTGTTTTTGACCTGTCAGACGGGGAATGTAGACTATTAAAACATTCCTCTTTCCGAAGAGTTTAGAAGAAGGTCTTGTATAGAGCCTGTAAACACAATAGCTCAAAAAATTTTGAATCAATTCCAACAAAACTTTGCAGGGGTGTAGACCAGCGGTCCCCAACCAGATCGGTTTAATGTCAGACAATATTTTCACAGACCGGCCTTTAAGCTGTCACGGATAAACAACAAAATAAAATGATACGATCAAGACAAAAACTGTGGTGTTTTGTAAATATAATAATAAACGTGAATTCACTGTGTAATTATGTAACTTTATTAGCAGAGTCCTCCGGAAATGCTGCAACAACATTAAGAGCATCATCCTCCGCTCTGCCCCTTAATGCCCTCTGGTCACTATGGTAATGCGTAAATATTTCTTTCAAAATAAGAC